ACGTGTGCTCTTCCGATCTCCCCAAAACCCCAAAACCCCAAAACCCCGTTAGAAAGATAAATAATTTTCAAGAATAAAATAAAATATTAGCTTTATAAATAAAATAAGAAATGGGAAACTAATGTGGATGTAGCAAAAATGAAGATCCAGAGGTTGCAGCAAGAAGACTAAGAAATCTCATTAGAATATAAGCTATTGCAAGATCTTATATCGCTAGAAGAAAACTTCATGAGTTAAGAATGCAGCAATTCGCTCAAATATTCAGTAAGTTAGCACTCTAAACTCGAGATTTTATCTCATTTATCCGCGAGATATTAATGATTATTTTTAGCCGGAGATAGAACGAATCATTAAAATGCTGAGACGTGGATGCTTACTCAAAGAATCGGCCCATTCGATTATAAGAATTATATAGCTAAAGATGGACAAGGTAGAATTTTCTTCCCTCAATTCGTGAAAATGGAGGATGGAAGAACCTTTAAAGGTCAATGGTAATCAATGATTCAATGTATCATTAAAAATCTTTTGAGATAGGTTGAAGAGAGTGAGTCATAAAGATGGATTAGGTATAATGTTCTGGCCAGATGGAACTAAGTATGAAGGTTAATTCGCTAGCGATAGATAAAACGGCTTTGGGAGAAAAATTTTCTCTAATGGAGAATTCTATATCGGTAATTTCCAAAATGACAAGGCGAACGGCTTCGGAGTATTTTAAGATTTAAATGGTGGAAAGTATGAGGGAATGTGGAGAGATGATAAATAACATGGATAAGGAAAAGAGATCTGGAACAACGGAGCAGAGACCTATGAGGGTGAGTTTGTAGAAGGAAAGAAAAACGGCAAAGGCAAATTCTCATGGAGTGATGGATCATATTATGAGGGAGACTTTGTTGATGGGCTGTTTGAAGGCTACGGAACATATTACTTTAAGGAGAGTGATAAAACTTTTTCAGGGCAATTCCATGATGGCAAAATAGATGGTGAAGGCGAGATGAAATGGGGTGATGGTCGTGAATACTGGGGTCAGTTTAAGGACGGAAAAGAAGATGGAGAGGGCACATACAGATATCCAAATGGAAACCTATACATTGGGAAATTCAAAGATGGAAAGATGTAAGGTTTCGCTATTTTCATTGATGTTGAGAAACAGACAAAGAGACATGGTGAGTGGAAAGAAGGTAAAAGAACTCAGTGGCTTAGTAGTCCAGAAGCAATTAGCACTGACGGTTCTCCAATAAAAAGGCTTTCCCATATCACTCAATTACATACTACTTAGTGATTATTTATTTTCAATTTTGTATTTGACTATACCATTAATTCATTGCTATGTATCATAGAGGGGTTTTGGGGTTTTGGGGTTTTGGGGTTTTGGGG